AGGGACCCCCTCTCCCCTCCCTTTTTTCTTAGGTGACCCCTCCCCTCCCCTTTCTTCTTCTTTTCCTTCCTCCCCTCTTTTTCTTCTTGTTATTCTTTTTTCTTCTTTTTTTTATTCTTTTTTATTCCTTTTTCTTCTTTTTTCTTCTTTTTTTATCCTTTTTTATACTTTTTATTCTGTTTTTCTTTATCCCCTAATTTTGTTGTTGCTGCACACTGTTCACCCCCGTACCTAGTAAACATAATTATAAATAAATAAATAAATAAATAAATTAATAAATTAATAAATTAATAAATTAATAAATATAAATAATAAATATATACAAATAGAAGCAAGACAACAAAAAAAGAAAAAAGACAGAAAAGAGAGGGAAAAAAACATACGCATGCATGCATGCATGCATGCATGCACGCATGCAAGAAAGGAGAGAAAGAAAAGAAAAGAAATAAAATAAAAAAAATAAAAAGAAATAAAAAAAGAAAAAGAAGAAAAAAGAAAATAAGGAAAATAAAAGGAAGAAAAAGACAAGCCCAAGGCACTACTCTGTTGCCGTGTCTGCTGCAGTTGCTGCTGCAGCTGCTGCTGTTGCTGCTGTTGCTGCTGTTGCTGCTATTACTGCTGCTAGGTTTCCTCCCTTTACGTAGCTAGCCAACCAGTTGGCTAGCTACATACCTTCCTACCTAATTAGCTAGTTAGCTAGCTAGCTAACTAGTTAACTACGAGTCCGTCCTACTGGCTAGCTAGCTAGCTAGCTAGCTAGCTAGCTAGCTAGCTACGTAACTGGATATTGGCGTATAGCTCCTTCAAGCCTACTGGCTGGCTAGCTTGGCTAGATAGCTAGCTAGCTGGCTAGCTAGCTAGCTAGCTAGCTAGCTAGGGAGGTAGCTAAATAACTGGCTAAATAACTAGCTAGCTAGCTGGCTAGCTAGCTAGCTAGCTAGCTAGCTAAGAGAAATAGTATGCAGCAGTTAATACCCCCCTCTCCAGCACATATTAGACCAATATAAGCAAGCTTCCTGCTGCTGTTGCTGCTGTTGCTGCTGCTGATCATGCTGCTTCTGCTGCTGCCGCTGCTTCTAGAGCCGCAGCAACAGCCGCCGCAGTAACTGCAGCAGCAGCAGCAGCAGGTGTTGCTGCTGCTGCAGCAGCAGCAACAAATATTCATATATGCGAACACAAATAGCGATGCGAATGTCCATAGAGACTGCTGCTGCAGCAAGCAGCAACATTGGGGGATTCTGCTGCTGCTGCTGCTGCTGCAGCAGCAAGTGCAGCAAGTGCAGCAAGTGCAGCAGTAGTTGCTGCTGTTGCTGGTGAATGTGTTTCCTTGGAAACAAGCAGCAGCAACAGCAGCAACAACAGCAGCACGAGAGTCTTTACTGCTGCTGCTGCTGCTGCTGCTGCTGAATTCTTACATCTGTTGCTGCTGCTGCTAGTGCTGCAGCTGCTGCTGCTGCTGCAGCCGCTGCCGGCGTAGGAGACGATACTGCCTAGCTAACTCAACAGCTCTCTCTGCTGCAGCATCAAAGTCACTTATTGCCTCTATATGTGGACAATAATGCTTCTGCTGCTTCTGCTGCTGCTGCTGCTGCTGCTGCTGCTGCTGCTGCTGCTGCTGCTGCTGACTATCCTTAAATGCATTTTTTAATAATTCTTCTGCCTTTTCTCTGTTTGTTCCCTCTAATCTTACCTAATAATAATAATAATAATAATAATAAAAAGGAGACAAAAAGAAAATAAATAAATAAATAAATAAATAAATAAATAAATAATAAAAAAGGAGACACACTACCACCACTATCAGCAACAGCAGCAGCAGCAGCAGCAGCACAAGAAGGAAAAACAACAAAAAACAGCAAAAAAAAACAGCAACAACAAACAAACAACAACAAGCAACAACAACAAGCAACAACAACAAGCAACAACAACAGCAGCAGCAACAACAACAGCAGCAGCAACAACAGCAGCAACAGCAGCAGTAACTTACTACAATAGGTATAATAGGTTTATAATAATAAATAGTATTAAGGAGACACTTAGCAATTAAATCACACTTAATTATACCACCAAATATATTTATAAATAAACAATTTATTTTCTCCTTTTCTTCTCCTCCTTCTTCTCCTTCTCCTCCCTCTCCTTCTCCTCCTTCTCCTTCTCCTCCTTCTTCTTCTCCTCCTTCTCCTTCTTCTCCTCCTTCTCCTTCTTCTCCTCCTTCTCCTTCTTGTTTATTTATAAATATATTTTTTCCTTTTTTATCTCCTTTCTCCTCCTCATTATTAGCAAGAAAATAATGATTTTTTTTCTTTTTTTTTTCTCCTCCCTCTCCTTCTTCTCCCCCCTCTCCTCCTCCCTCTCCTCCTCCCCCCTCTCCTCCTTCTTCCTCTCCCTTGTATATATCCCCTTGATGAATAAGTATAGATAATGCATAATTAATAATATGTTGCTGCTGTGCTGCACCTCCACCTATATCCAAGAAATTAGCAGCAAATCCTTTTTTTTGTTTAATAAGATCATTTGTTGCCATGGCTAATCCAGCACCATTTACTAATATACCTATATCCCCTATTAATTTTATATAATTTATACCTAATTCTTTATTTATTATTAATTCTTTTTCCTCATCATCTAAATCATCTTGTTGTTGTTGTTGCTGCTGTTGCTGCTCCTGCTGCTGCTGCTGCTGCTGCTGCTGTTGTCCTCCTCCTCCTGCTGCTGCTGCTGTTAATGGCAAACTATCATGATCTATACAAGAGGAGATACTACCTACTGTCTCCTTATTATTATTATTATTATTTATATAATTATTATTTATATAATTATTATTTATATAATTATTTATATTATTATTATTTATATAATTAAATAAATAATTAAATAAATTATTTTGTCTATAATAAGAAGAATCATCAATAATAATCTTTGCATCTATTAATAATATATTATTATTATTATTTATTATTAATGGATTTATTTCTATAAGGAGACAATCTTTATGTATAAATATATTTATTAATTTATTTATTATATTCCTTATCTCCTTATTTATATTATTATTATTATTATTTATATTATTATTTATATTATTTATTAATTTATTTATTTTTTCTTCTTTTTTTTTCTTCTCTTCTTCTTCTGTATATACACCTAAACATTTACATACTTGATCTATTATCTCATCATTTATACCTATAAAGAAAAAAAAAAACAACAAATAAATAAATAAATAAATAAATATATTTATTTATTTATTTATTTATTTATTTATTTATTTATTTATATTTATTTTATTTATTTGTTTACTTTATTCTTCTTTATTTTATCTTTTCTCCTTTTTTTTTTTCTTATTAACTAGGAGACAGGAGACAGCTAGCTAGCTAGCTAGCTAGCTAGATAAGGAAAGGAGACAGCTAGCTAGCTAGCTAGCTAGCTAAGGAGACAGCTACCTATCTACACAAAAAAGACAGCTAGCTAGCTAGCTAGCTAGCTATCTAGCTATCTATCTATCTAACGAACTACATAAAGGAGACACCTAGCCAGTCAGCTAGCTACCCGCTACCCATCTAGGTAGCTAGCTAGCTAGCTACCTAGCCAATTACCTATCTATCTATCTATTTAGCTAGCTAGCTAGCTAGCTAGCTAGCTAGCTAGCTAGCTAAATAACTAACTAACCTTCATCTATATCAATAGGTATTTTAAGGATAGACATTGGATCTTCTTTTGCGATTTCTTCTATACTTGTACCTCCACGAGAACTGTAACACATAAACCCTAAACCCTAAACCCTAAACCCTAAACCCTAAACCCTAAACCCTAAACCCTAATAAATAAACCCATATATATATAAACCCTTATATAAATATTTATATATATAATAATCATAAACCCTAAACCCTTAATCTTATACAAGAATACAAACAACAAGATAACAGAACCCTAAACCCTCATAAACCCTAAACCCTCGTAAACCCTCATAAACCCTCATAAACCCTCATAAACCCTCATAAACCCTCGTAAACCCTCGTAAACCCTCATAAACCCTCATAAACCCTCGTAAACCCTCATAAACCCTAAGAATAGAATACCTGACAACAAGAAGAGGACCTCCTGTATCCCTATCAAGAAGAATAGCTAGATAGAATTCTTTTTGTATATTAATTTGTTGGGCAATAAGAAGACGACGAACTTTTTTTCCTTTTTTTGTTGTTTGTTTAGTAATTAGGGTTTTATTAATCATATTATTTGCAACACTAAACACTAATTTAGGGTTTATGCATGCATGCACTCCTCCCTTATATCCATTTTCCTTAAAAAACCCTAAACCCCTTCCTCCTGCTAGTATTTGTGCCTTAACTACTAATGCATTCTCCTGCTGCTGCTGCTGCTGCTGCTGTCCTTGTTGCTGTCCTTGATGCTGTACTTCCTGCTGCTGCTGCTGCTGCTGCTGCTGCTGCTGCTGCAGCTGCTGCTGCAGCTCTATTGCTGCTTCGTATGCCTCTTGGGGTGTACGTGCAACTTTATAAAGAGGTAAAGGTAAATCATATTCACGTAATAAGTCATAAGCTTGGTACTCATATAAGGATATATATCTTTTTTGCTGCAGCAAATGCTGCTGCTGCGGTTGCTGCAGCAAATGCTGCTGCTGCTGCTGCTGCTGCAGATGAGGTTGCTTATTCTGGTACTGCTGCTGTTGTTGCTGCTGCTGCTGATGCCAGAATAAGCCACGAGGTACAGGACTAGTACGCATACATGAGGGGGGAGGGGGGGCCCCTGACCAGCGCTGTAGGGGCCCCCTGGGGCCCCCTAAGCGCATAAATGTATTCATTAGTAGGTAATAAATAAAAAAAGAATAAAAATAAATAAAAAATAAAGAAAAAAGAAGAAAAAAAGAGGAAATATAAAGAAAGAATGGATAAATATAGGTACCCTCCCCCCCCTATATATATACCAACAGCTAGCTAGTGTATATACACCATAAAAATTAGGGTTTAGGGTTTATTAGGGTTTATTAGGGTTTATTATAATTAATTATATATATAATATTATTATTTTATCTATAAATAGATACAAAAAGCAGCAGCAGCGCATGCAAAGAAGCCCCAATACCAACGGAGAGCTCGCTGCTGCTGCTGCTGCTGTTGCTGCTGTTTCTGCTGCTGTTGCTGCTGTTTCTGCTGCTGTCTGCTCGCAACAGCAGCAACTGCTGTTGTTGCTGTTGCTGCTGCTGCTGCTCTATTTTTTTATTATCCTTCCTTTATTGACACTACCTTAGAGCTGCATATACACCCGAACAGCAGCAGCAGCAGCAGCAACTGTGACAGCAGCAACAGCAGCAGCAACAGCAGCAGCAGCAGCAGCAACAGACCGCTCGTCTTCGCGGGCAACAAAGTGTCTTCCTATACACTAAATATATAAACCCTAAACCCTAAACCCTTTATTAGGGTTTAAGGAGACACATTTTACTTATTAATTATATTCACACACATAAACCCTAAACCCTAAACCCTAAACCCTAAACCCTAAACCCTAACAAACCCTCATCTCCCTTCTTCTTACATATATAAAAGAATAAATAGATATTTATAATATTTATATTTATTAATAAATATAAATATATAAATATATATAATTTATATATTTATTATATAGATACATATACATATACATATACATATACATATACATATACATATACATATACATATACATATACATATAC